TGAAATTTGGAACATTGAATATGCTCACTAGAGGGCACTTTCTCACATTTTAGGATTTTCATTTAATCTTCCGGATTTTCTGGAAATAACATCAACTTTCGATTTTCAAATGAAACACCATCTATTTCATTCCATAATCGGTTAGGGATTATTTTATAACGAATTAAACAATACCGGGTTTGATTGGGATATTTCAAACGATTCGAAGATATTCGCGTTCGAAGTTACCATAAGCTCAATGAGTGTGACAGACAAACCCATTGAGCATATGGAAACTTCGAACGCGAATATCTTCGTAATCGTATAAAATAACCCAATCAAAACAAGTATTGTTGAATTCGTTATAATAATCCCTAACCCATTATGGGATGAAATAGATGGTGTTTCACGGTGTTTCATTTGAAAAGCGGTACCTTACTTTACTATTTTTTGATGAGCAGTTCTGAAAAATACCGTTCTAATTAAGCTCACAGAAGTGAGAACTTGCCTTCACTAAGATGCATTGTTTTCAGGACAAAAATTATTGTTTTAAATCTCCCATTGATAAAATTTCTATTCTTTTATCATAATCATCCTCATGGAGCTCTTGAAGAATCTGCATCTTATATGGATGAAAAAAATGTAATTTCAGTGCTTTTCTCACAGTCTCGTGTGACATTCCCGTCTGTTCTGCCACTGATCGTGAAAAGATAGTAGCAAATGTTTAGTACTCTAGGATTATTCCTTTTTTTATTTTTCACAGAACCAGTTTCGTAAAACTTTTCCACCAAATCAAGCACATACCGGTGACTTACATTACAATTTGGATTTCTTTCATTAAAAAGAAATGCCGCCCTTCGTGCGCACTTTCCAGCCTCTCCATAAATCACAATCATTTCAGTTCTTTTTGAAAGAGTGTAAACCATTTCCACAATTTATACTCTGAATAAAGGTATTACTGAACAGCTCAACAAATAAAACTCAATTAATAATACTACCAAATCGTTTGAATTTGCTGAACAATTTTTTGCTCAAAAAATCAGCAGTAGCGAAAAAGGAAGGCCATCTGTAGAATTAAAAATCCAATGATAAACGCAAATAAGCTACCATCGAAATGTCACTATTAAATTGCTTATTGATGTTGATTAATTGGGGCTAATGGCTAATGGCCCCTGTTGGAAAGATGGATAGTACTTACCTAATTTTCTGACCAGTTTCACTGGAAGGTGAATCAATACAATAATCTCTGTTTAAATATACTAACCTGAAAACCATGCATCTCAGTGCAAGCAATTTTAGATCACTTCTGTAGGTTTAGAACGCTATTTTTCAGAAAGTAATAAGCCCTAACCCATTATGGGATAAAATAGATGGTGTTTCATTTGAAAATCAAAAGTTGATTTCATTTCCAGGAAATCTGGAAGAAGAAATAAAAAATTCCTAAAATGAGGAAAGAGCCCTCTAGTGAGCATACTTGATGTTTCAAATTGCAGGAATATTGCTAGAAAACCAAAGGGGAAATGATACTAAAGTTTTAGCTCCGCCAATTTCAAAATCCTAACTCTACAACATCGAAAGATACAGAGGGGTGCTCCCATTAGAAGTGGGACACACGTACTGTATACAAACCCAACGTGTAATATATTTTTAATATTCAGCTTTCCATAGAGGTTCAAAAATTTTTATAATATATATATGGGGTGTTCCATTAGAGAAAATTGTCGCGGACGTCATTACTCAAAAGTGAATAACCCTGTTTATTCAATTTTTCCCTTATAAATGTGGAAAATTGAAAACAAGAATCGTCCTGTCTCAGAAGATTCCTCAGGAATGGATAATTTGGCTAAAAATGAATTAATTCAGTAGGTACTTCACGGAAACTCTGTATGATTGCTAGATTAATTTTTTGTTCCTTGGAGTATATATAGAAATATAGTGCCTATCACGTGTTAGAAAAGATTAAAAAACTCACCAGTATGAAATCTGCATGAACTCCACTTATGAATTCTCAAAACACTTCACAAAACACCGACACAACACAGAATAACGCGATGTAATCACTATACCGAACGATGTATTTGAGAGACACAGTCCGGACACACTATTTTCTCACTCTTCTTAATAAACACAATTGTAGAATTAAAACAGTTATTTTTCTACGGCTATATAATACAAAATTGATATTATTTCACAAAATCCCATCTCCCATGTCTAATAGATAAGCATTACTTAAGAGGAAATCAGAAGGCTACAAGCCGAAGAAATAAAAAATTTCGCTGTTATCTATGAGAGCCGTAGAAAAAGTATAGTTTATAACTCGCACGGAATGCTAATATGTAATTAAAATGACTTTCATTCCATGCTCGTTAAACAATACAGGGTGATTCACGATGAGCGTTAATATATAGACGGTTCTGGCAAACCAAGCAACAGATGAATCAGAAAATTCGATGGTAAGTATAACGACATGATCTACACATCTTAAATATTTTAAACGATGCGGTGTTACCGCTTCTACTAGAAGGTAGCAGCAAGTTTGATTTTTTCACATGGATCACCCTAATTTTCATTGGATTCTTCCTGAAGAGCTCATTTTATACATGTATCACACTTGGCGTCTAGCTCGGAAGATGACAGAAATATATAGTGTGTTCAAAATCGACATTTTTCATCTTATGGATTTTTTTGTGTCGAAACTATTCATTATTTGTCGAAACGGCTTACATGTCCCTATCTTAACTGTTGATTTACTATTTACTTACATTTAATTGGAACATATACAGGGTGATCAGAATTATGAATCCACCCTGTATTTGTTCCAACTAAATGTCGGTAGATAGTAAATCAGAAGTTGAGCTAGGGACATGGAAGCCGTTTGACCAATAATGAGTTTCGGCAAAAAAAAATCGAGATTTTGAACACCCTATATCTCTGTAATCATTCCCGCTAGACCCCAAGTGTGATGCATTGATGAAATCAGCTCTTCAGGGAAATTCTGAAAATGCTATGAAATACATGGTGTTCCATTTGAAAAGTCATAGTTGCTGCTACTTTCTAGTAGAAGGGGCAACGCCGCTTTGTTTAAAAATTTGTTTGACGTTTAGATTATGTAAATTCATACATACCATCAAATGTTCAGATTCATCTGTTGCTTGGTTTGCCCCGTCTAATTGAAGCTAATTGAGAAAAACCATGTATACTATAAGTATATGTATTTTGCGATATGCACTAGTGACTAGATTAATTTTTGCTTGAAACTGATACGAGCACTTTTAAGTATAGACTGTACACGATGACATCTAACATAAGACTGACACGATTCACCACGTCGGTCCGAATGACTAATTAGATGCGTCACCTTTTTCGATCCTATCAATTCCCGAAACAAGTATTTATCTATGACTAATAATAATAATGATGATATCTGAATAACACGGGGTGGATGGAACATATATATACTACAGATATACAGTGTCGTTTGAAACGATAATCTCAACATAAATGCGGACTTTTGTTCAACTTTCTAAGTATAATTCCTGATGAAATACAGTTTTTTTGTATCAACTTATAACTATGAATTAAAATAACAATAACTGCAAGACGAATGATATGGAAATTAGAAATATTATTTACGGAACAAATTTTATTCAGTATAATTTTTTCAATCGTAATTTGAATGCCTTCCATATTTTGGATATTTGATATAGATCACCAATTCGGAGTCGCAAATTTATTGTTTAGAATTAAAATTGGATACAGGAACTTCGTATAATAAATAGTAAAACGGCTTTCCATGATAACTTCAGATAGTCTCATAACTTTTGACCAAATGAATCTTCTTGAATGAAAGTTGTTCAAAAAAACATGTTCTTTCAGAATATGAGAAAAAATGATAACTTTGTGGAAAGAATAATTTTTCTGACGCCATTTCCGCCATTTTGAAAAGGGTTGAAAATGTTTCAATACGAAAAAATATACCTCACATACTTACACCATCATTCTTACACCCATTAAAATCCCCTCTGCCAAATTTGCATTAGCAGTTTTCCTTTTCCTGTTATAAGTCAAAGGCAAGAGGTTTGAACCACCCTGTACATAAATTCACAGCAAACAGTATTATGGCCAATGGAGTAAGGTGCGTGTCTGATAAGCCGATAAGCTAGAGGCCAAAGGTCCCGCGGTTAAATCCCGTAGGTATTTTTTTTTCGAAATGATTGATTTAAAAAAATACTGTGGACGACAATGATGTTTTTTTCAGGATTGAAATTTTCTGATTCCGCATGGATTATTTATTGCGCCTGTCTCTAGATTCCCACCATGTACTAATTCAGGTAGTATTGAATTCGTGCTTGTAGGAGGTCGCTCGCTGTCGTCATGTCAAAAACGTCAAACGTCCACCGTCAACCTGAAACTCTGAAACAGTGGAAACTGGAAACTACAAAAACAAAATGGTGTCTATTTGTAATGCAGGGTAGGTAGAATAATATTTCCTTCATTATGCATTTTCTGTGAACTGCTTTGCTAGCAAATAAAAAGTATCACACCACCATGGTGACGAAACGTGAGGTAAGAATTCATAACGAAATGTCTGTTGTGCTTGTAGTAATAAAGTTGTTTCAAGTCAGTTAGGGAGCATGTTAGGTCAAAATATTGAGAAATGTAATGATTAGAATACCTAATAATATTATCAATACGTGTTCAAAACATTAGAAATAACCGAAATAGGAATGTATTGATAATAAGAGCTTGTAATTTTAAGAGAGCCTTTTATTTTTTAGTTACATAATGCAATTGTTTATTGTGAAGATAGAATCATGAAAAGAAAAATAAATAACCTTGTTCTATTTTCTATCATTATTTCAATTATACATCAATTCACTTTATACTGAACTTTATGTTTCAGGGTAATATCTGAAAAGAGCAGCTTTGAAAACTTTTAGTGATGAATGTGAATCCATTGCATTGGAAATGTGGGGTGGGTTTGTCATCGCTAGTTTAGCAAAAATTGGCGTTTCTACATTATGAGGGAGATGGTAGGAGGGTGTTGTGTTTGTTCTGATGATAGAGGCTGGTCTGAAAATCCACTTGTTTACTGCGATGGACAATCTTGCACTGTAGCTGTTCACCAAGGTACTTTTGCCATCCAAAATGTAATTTGAATATATCTACCTATAAATAACAAATATCATTGTCAGAAATCAAGTTGGTCATTTTATAGACCTCATTTCAGTAATGACACTGGATCATGTATATATTATCAAGCAACCTGTGGCTTATTGTTGTTTTAATGCCAGTTTTAATGTTTAACATTCACTTTCATCATACCAGTAGCTGACCCTGCAAATTTTGTTTTGTTATACATTATTTCTTTATTTCTAGGAAATATTTTTTCAGTTAAATATTCATCAACACACTATCATTATTATTTTATTTTGTACTTCTGTTCAGTTTGGCTACATATGAAAGCATGTTTCTTTAGTTTTTCAAACTACCATTTATTTTCTACTCCTTTTTAGTTCACTTGAATTTCACAATTTTGATGGAGAATCATAATCCTTCTACTCCTTGAAGCCCAGATCAAAATTTGGAATAGAATCGGATCATAATTTGAAAAATCGTCCGCCATATTGGATGCGCCATCTTGAATTCCCTAATTTTGACGAAGGAATCCTAATTTCCAATTCCAAAAACTCCCACTTTTTGAAAAGAATTGGATTATAATTACAAAACTCGTCCGACACATTGGATCCGCCATCTTGAATTTCCTAATGTTGACGAAGGAATCATAATCCCCGATCACAAAAACCCCTAGGTGCCAATTTTGAATAGAATCGGATTATGATTACAAAACTCGTCCGCCATATTGGTTCCGCCATATTAGATCCGCCATCTTGAATTGAATTGAATCATAATCCCCGATTCCGAAAATATCTAGATAGCAACTTTGAATAGAATCTGATAATAATTACAAACCTCGTCCGCCATATTGGATCCGCCATCTTTAATTTCCCAATTTTCAAGAAGGAACTATAATCTCCGATCTCGGGAACACGTAGATACCAATTTTAAATAGAATCGGATCATAATAAGAAAATCCGCCATATTGGATCCGCCATCTTGAATTTGCCGGGATGAAAAGTATCCTATAGCCGTCTTCTGTTTCTAAGCGACCTCCTCACCAATTATTAGCCAAATCGGTTCAGCCGTTCTTGAGTTATACATAGTATAACAAATTTTGGACTTTCTTTTATACCCGGTGACAAATACTCATAATATACTTCCCCTTCTCTCCTTTGTTTTTCTAGCTATATTTTTGAAATTTGGAACATGGAATAAGCTCACTAGAGAGCACTTTATTTCAGGATACTATCGATAGCCACTATCGATACTATCGATAGTTTTGTACTATCGATACAATCGATAGTGTTTGAATACTATCGATAAACCATCGGTTCCAAATTTTATACAGAAATCACGCTATTTTGACTCCCAGAGTTCAACAGTCACTGAACAACAGTTGAGTGAAAAATCGCTCTTCAATATTGATGCTCAATGTATGTAATGTAATCTAAAAAAACAATTTCTTCAAAAAGAATAGATTCAAATGGAGATTATGATGTTGGAACAATGTTTTCCTTGTATCTAGAAAAAAATTATGTCTCAGCTACATCAGTCCGAGAAAATTTTCTCCAAAACTTGACAAATAAATCAGTGACAGGAGAGAGGCTCAAACCTGATGTCAAGGGCGGTCCTATGGGGGTAGAGGGGGTAGATCATCAAAACAGATCGATTTTTAAATTTGATTCATAGAAAAAATTGTGAAAAGGAATTCAACAAGAAAATTAACAAAAATATGGAAATTAAAAATGAAACAGGAAAATTGGTTTATTCTGAAAACAAACCCGGTAACCCCCTTAAAGATTCACCTCAGGGTCGCACTTGCCTGAAGTCATCAAAATCAATGTTGAATTTGGATGAGTTTTTTTGCTATTCTTTCTTCTCTTCAATATTTCAAAGATTTTTGTTCCTGATGTTTTGTACCTGAATCATTCATATAGACCACATAGACTCCATTGAATGTTCTTTGCTATTCATGTGTTTATTTTCACCTGTTTTCGCCACAGTATTGATCTAAGTGGAAAAAAATAAATAAAAAAATGGGGACAAATATATATTTTGAGATAAATTCTGGATCGATAGTACTATCGATAGTATCGATTGTTTTTGAAAAAACTATCGAAACTATCGATAGTATAAACTATCGATAGTTTTCCACCTCTTCACCTTGGCGACCGCAAATACCAGCTATTACTCCATTATTTCCAAATCAAAATATTCCGAGAACGGTACACAGTTTTGAGTTTCATCAAGAGTAACTTTTTGGTGTTGAATTGAATAATGATCAAGTTCAAATGAAATTTGGTCTGAGAAATCTAACCTCAAAAATTCGTTCATTCATGCGAAGTGTCAGCTTCCAGAACATGGGTTGCGTGCAAGAACTGTCAGATGACCGACCCTGGACGTGAAACATTGAAACACAACCTCACTTTTCTTATTTGTTTACAAGTGATTGAAATAGTTTTTCACAATTATTTTGGCATACAAATAGTGTTTTTCGGTTATTCATTAATTCGCGCATGCCATCACATTGTGCTGTTGTACAATGCATAAAAAATGCAGTGGGAGACGAAGGAATCCGGTTGGTACATAATGATTTGAAAGTTAGTACCTACTATAGTCGCTCACATACATATAGTTTTCATTGTTGAAATTTGGTAATTTCTCTGATTTCTCATCGGAATTCCTTCTGCAATAGGAGCTAATAGAAATACTCGTGAAATTTCTAAAATAATGCAAGTTGATTGGATTCATGCAATCAAACGGGATGACTCATCAGACATGCTGACGAAATATTATCATGTATGTAGACATTTTCAATCTATTAGCAGTATTAGCTTCTATTGCAGAAGTGGAAGGAATTTTAATAAGAAATGACAAAATTTCATTTTGAAAACTATGTTAGATCTTTATTTACCTGAAAAATCATATTCCTTCGTCTCTCACTGCATTTTTTGTGCATTGTACAACAGCACAAAGAGAAGGCACGCTTGAATTAATAAATAGCGCAAAAAACACGATTCATGTGCCAAAATATTGTGAAAAACTGTTTCTCCTGTAAACAAATGAAAAAAGTGAAGCTGCATTTCAATGTCTTACAGAAAAGTGAGGTTGTGTTTCAATATTTTACCTTCAGGGTGGGTCATCCTGCATGCGACCTATATCGATACAAAATGTCATTACAATGTTGTCAGTAGTTTCGACATGACCGTAAAAAATGTGTAAAACATATTTTTCTTCAGCACTGTATCTTGAAAACGGATGCCGTCACGACATTTTTTTACTGAGCTATCCCAACTTATTTTGCAGTGTTCTACCAACCCTGAAACGTGGATCACCTTTTTTTGAAATCCCTGTATAGAATCATAATCACCAAAATCCATCATTGTGCATGAAAAATCATATCTCCCAAATGCGGATTCAGATTAGATGAATTTCAAAACCATATCCTGTATGTACTTCATTTTGAGCTTTTGTCTCGGCTTTTGTATCCGGACACTCTCATATCCAGAACTATGCACACAATGTGAATTTTTCAAAAAACATTAAGAACATTCAATGTTATTCAATTACTCGTTGTTGAAATGCATCATTTTGAAGAAAGTAAAAGATATATCTCCAACATAGACATCAAGCTTCATGATTGAGGTCCAATAAAAAAATTAAAAAAATATTTTCTCAAACATAACACTGAAATATTTTTTGTAGCATCATATTGCTCTGACGAGTAACTGAATGATAGAGCTAACCAACTGACCGATTGATTTGAAATTTGGCAGGTATACATAAGTTCGGGTGGCAACCATATACGTATTAATAAACAATACGGATCATAACGGGTGCCAGGATGAAGCCAAAAATATGAAACAAATGAATATCCATAAGGATTTGGTGGCATGATACGCATGCGCCATGCGCTATTATAGTAGTCATCAAAGACATGCGTTTCGGTGGACAATGACGTTTACTAGCCTTTCAATCAAAGCAGTATGTGTCTGATCGTTTCAAAACTTTTCCTTATGGATAGTCATTTGTCTTCAAAAATCGGCTTCATGTTTCGCTATGGAAACAGATAGAGATTATCCGTATTGATTATTAATACGTATATGGTGGCAACGCATCATGAAATTTTTATTATACAAAAAAACAAAATGGCTGCTGAGTTTTGTAATCATGATCCTATTTTATTCCAAATTGGAATATAGCGGTTTTCGAGGTCAGAGATTATGATTCTTTTGTCAAAATTTTAAAATTCAAGATGTCGAATCCAATATGGCGGACGAGTTTTGTAATTATGATCTGAATCTATTCTATTCAAAATTGGTATCTGGGGGATTTTGAGATCACAGATAATGATTCTTTCATCGAATGTTGGTGAAATTTAAACTAGTGGGTGCCAAAGAACTCTGTCAGCGACAGGGTTAATATGAAAATTCATGATATTAAAAATATTGCTACACATTTACAAGGCGGATAAATAAGAAATATTAAAAAAAATATTTAAAAAAAAAATTATCTAAATTCAAGGCTAGTACTCAAAATATCATACAAATATTATATATTTTTGGAAAGCGCAAAGCATCAATGATTCAAATACGAAAAATATACAGGGTATTCCATTTAAAAAACAACTATAGGGTATATATAAATAATAACAGTTCATTTTGAAAATCTGACTACGCCACTGGATTCCACGTGAAAAATTATAATTGACAGTTTTTACTTTTCCTATAAGTTGAAAGATATCTGGGGGGGTCCCAAAATGTAACATTTTCAATTTTGCTCTGTATCTCAAAAACGAAGCGGGGTATGATAATTTTGTTTGCATTATCATGAGTTTCACAAAAATGTAGCCAACCTTCGCGAAAACCGCGAATCTCTATCTTCAAAAATAAGTGATGAGATATCCCGTAAGTACATCGAAAATGGGACAGCCTTTACATACACCTACCTAGCTATATTTTTCTATTTGTTTTGTTTGACTAGCTGTACATGTTTCTATGGACGAATGG